GAGGAGAGTGTAAATGTTTCGTGTTATGTATATCCTCCTTTTATGTATATTTCCCTTTTTCTCTGAAACTGGTTACATTCACTATAAATTCTTTTTTACTGTATAACCAAAATTTTCCGGTAATCATTTCCAAAATTTTTAGGAAAATTGGTTCAAATTCTATAACCAATGCAGTAGCTGCAGGCAGAGATGGGTGGTTGGGCAGGGTCACTGAGAAGTCTGTTTGGGTCCCATGAAAAATATTCACCGAAACTTGGTGTTTGTGTATAATAGGAGGCAGGGTTTAACTTACCTTATTCTGTTTTGAACTCCCTTCAAGATCTGTGACTTAACTGGTGAACAAGTGATCATGACTTAAATTAACTGCAATCTCTTAAATTGCTTTTAATAATGCTAATAATGACATTACCTAAGAAACAAAAAGTAGTGGATAATTGCCAGAGAGAGTACATTATTGTCATACTTCAATTTTGGGTTTTGTGAATCAAATTTTTCTCAATCCATTTTTAAAAAAAATTTTATGATACATAACTATTTTAATTTCACCTGGACAAAAAATATGAAGTGTTTGAAAGAGGTGTTAAGAGGGGCTTCTTCACCCAACTGTACTACTTCAGAGAAGTGCTGATGATAAATGTTGCATACACTCGGAAGAGGCGCTTCAGTATTGTCTTAGCATTACTCTGGAAGTTCCTTGGAAAAGGTACACCTGTTGAAAAAAGTGAATTAAAAAACATACAATTATACAAAAAATCATTTAAAAGAGAATTAACTTTTAATGAAAATTTCATAAATAAATTAATGTAGGAAAAGAGAATTTACAGTTAAACCTGGTACTGTATTCTATTTTTTATGAGAAAAGGTTTCTTTCTCGCAGAAGAGTTACTAAATGGAAGTTTCACTTTCCCTCAATGCCCAAGATGGCCAGCTTCCAAAGATAAAACTGTTGAAACACCCCAGAACACACATTTCATAGAATACATCCAATTTATAATGTTATTATGCATGTGTATTTGCCTTTTTTTCAAGTAAAAAATTATAGACAGAAATGTATTGTACACAGGTCATTTCTCACCAATGCAAGGGGCAGGGGACCCAAAGAAAAAAAAAAAATTCCAGTCCTTTTAGTAGCTATCCCTTTTTCCTAGCATTTTAGCCACTGTTGCAGCCCCTACAAACTAGTGGTTAAATGGGTTAACCTGCCGGGTGGCAGTACCACTGGGTACGTCATCAAACCCAATGTGGGGACTGCTGAGCCGGCCTTAGGGCAGTAAGTTTCCTGAACACCTCACGGTACACATCTACTGGCCTTAGAGCAGTAGTTACCAGAACACCTAATGGTATAAAATCTACTGGGCCCTTTGCACATTAAGTACCTGAACACCTCACGGTACACATCTACTGGCTTTAGAAGCAGTAGGTACCTGAACAAACCCCACGGTACACATCTACTGGCTTTAGAAGCAGTAGGTACCTGAACACCTCACGGTACACATCTATGGCTTTAGAAGCAGTAAGTACCTGAACACCTCACGGTACGCATCGAAGCAGTAGTTACCAGAACACCTAATGGTAACATATCTACTGGCAGTAGAGAGTATTTTACGGGCTTCTACTGATTTTTAGAAGAGCCGCTCACCGCAGCTCACTGAGTCTGATGGCCTCAGTTACTTGACGGCCGCACTCAGTGAGCTTGCAGCATGGTGTTCTGCTAGAATTCATTGGACCACCTTGCGGTGTGTCAATTGGTCTTGAAGGCGGTAGATAGTACTCACCAACCACTTACGGTGTACTTCTACCGGCCTTAGAGAGTATTTTCAGGACTACCAGTGAGGGCTGCGAAACTCACCGCCTATGCTGGTCAACTGTGGGCTGGAGTCATCTGATTCTGTTTTAGTGGGACATTACATGAAGAAAAGGTTGGAGTGTTACACTAAAACTGAGCTAGGACCATAGTGGGGACACTTAGGGAAGTATGATGGAGTGAAATATTGAGATATGTCTACAGGACCGTAGTGGAACACTGAGAAGAAAAGGGTGTCCCTGTGACACTGAAGATGGCCTGGTTGTAGTGTACATTGAATAGTATCATGTGACTGGCCTCTCGAAAGACGCTTGTTGATAGTGAGTGTGTCGCAGAGATAAGGGTGTCAAGTGTGACACAGTCGTGAAAGGGTGTGGATGACGCAAAGGGTGTCGTGTGACACGGAGAGCTGGAGGGTCTGGTGACACAGAGAAAAGGGTGTCAAGGGACACAGTTGTGGAAGGAGCGTCATCACACGGCGAAAAGGGTGTCGAGTGACGCGGTGGAGAAGGGAGCGTCACAACTGAATAAGGGGTCATGTGGGACACAGACCCATCTTATAAGTGTCGTGTGAGACACGGATTTTGATCATAATTTATTATTAACAAATGTTATTTATAATTTATTATTTAGCATAGTCAACTTGAGTCCTGGAAATGGGAAGTACAATGCCTGCACTTTAAAGGAGGGGTTTGGGATATTGGCAGTTTGGAGGGGATATGTTGTGTATCTTTATATGTGTATGCTTCTAGACTGTTGTATTCTGAGCACCTCTGCAAAAACAGTGAAATGTGCAAGTGTGGTGAAAGTGTTGAATGATGATGAAAGTATTTTTTTTTTTTGGGATTTTCTTTCTTTTTGGGTCACCCTGCCTCGGTGGGAGACGGCCGACTGTTGGAGAGAAAAAAAAAAAAAAAAAAAAAAAAAAAAGATATATATATATTATTATTTCAAGATGCTAATAATTTATTATGGTAACCTGTATATATATTTAATACCTCTAGACCAAAGATTGTTTTCATATTATATTAAAGTTTTCACGTGTGGTTGAATAAAATGCAGAGAATTCGTAGTTTTGGAAGTTAGGAGGAGGGGGCGGATTTCCAAAACTGTTGTCCAGAGGGCTGAGGAAGGGTTGTTGAGGTGGTTCGGGGCATGTAGAGAGAATGGAGCGAACAGAATAACTTCAAAAAGTGTATCAGTCTGTAGTGGAAGGAAGGCGGGTAGGGGTCGGCCTAGGAAAGGTTTGGAGAGAGGGGTAAAGGAGGTTTTGTGGCGAGGGCTTGGACTTCCAGCAGGCATGCGTGAGCGCGTTTTATAGGATGAATGAGACAAATGGTTTTTAATACTTGACGTGCGTTGGAGGGGTGAGCAAAGTAACATTTATGAAGGGGTTCAGGGGGAAAACCGCAGGCTGGACTTGAGTCCTGGAGATGGGAAGTACAGTGCCTCAAATCTGAAGGAGGGGTGTAAATGTTACAGTTTAAAAACTGTAGTGTAAAGCACCCTTCTGGGAAGACAGTGATGGAGTGAATGATGGTGAAAGTTTTTCTTTTTCCGGGCCACCCTGCCTTGGTGGGAATCGGCCAGTGTGATAATAAAAAAAAATAATAAAATTAAAGATTCATTTATTTTAACGTGTATTTATATATCCCGAACTCTTTATTACAAAATGAGTAAAACTACCATCTTAAAAAAATCATTTTTTTGTAATAGCCACCATTCATGACATGTATGTTTATGGAGAAAAGAAACATTATGTGAGTAAGAACTACTGTACTATATTGTATGTATGTGCTGTATAAAGTTGCATGAAATAAAGGTACGATAGCCAAACCTAATTTTAAATAGAATTTTATTATTACATTCATGCAAAGGGAGTGCTAAACCTGAAGAGGTCATACAGAACTTGGGAGACTAGGAGGCAATAAGGTTTTCCCTTCAAGGAAGGGGAATTCAGATTCAATTCCTTGAAACAAAAGCCCTTCACAACATCAAAGGGAATGCCTTGAGGGGGCTTAAGAAGCATAAGATTTACTTGCCATTCTTACATGTTTACACATTACATACACTAAAAGATAAAGAAATGAGTAGTAAAATAATCTAATAAATTCATTTTAAGCCAAAAAAAAGTT